TGGTGGAAAGAAAGCAAGGAAGGAAGTAGGGATAGGGAGAAATAAACTTATCTTGCAAGTAATGAAGAGCTTTAGTTAATGTTATGTCCACATATTTGTTTTAACTCCCTCTTGAACCTTGGTCTCTGGATTAACATTACTGGGGATATTTGCTGGAATTCAACTGCCTGGCTACTCTGAGAGATGCTAATTGCTGACGAAGATATACAATATAATCCTTGAACTGTTAAGGCTTTCCTTCCGAGTCACTTGGCAGGAGAATTCTGAGGTGGGAATTGCCATCTTCCTGTGACAGTGGTTTAAATGTTCAGATGTAAAAATGGTTCTTCCAGAGAGGGCCAAACACTGTTCTGAAAAAAACGTGTAAGAGTACAAAACTGGGATTTCCTGGGTGAACTGTGCTTTGGAATATCCCTTGGAGAATCTGTGGAATATTTGTATTTCTGTCAAGGACCAGAATCCCACTGAATTAGACAAATAAAGTTGTCTACTGGAGAACTGATTCCCTAGGCCAGCCTCTGCATCCTGCTGAGTGGTGACCACCTTCTTTAATAAATAAATACTGCCTTTAATCACTGCTGCACCTCAGCTGCTCTCATGAAAATACAAACAAAAACTACTCCGTTTCTCCAGATGTAGCAAAACCAAAACCATGGAAAATACAAACAAAAACTTCTCCTAGTTTCTCCAGATGTAGCAAAACCAAAACCATTAAGCCAAGCCATTAAATATTATTGGGCTGAATGAATTCCTGTAGGTAGTCCAACATTATCATTTGGGGGGGTGTGTGAATATATTTACTGAATGTGCTGATAAAAATAAATAATAAAAACACTCCTTCTTTGCCAAGTAGAATGCAATTGAAATGATTAATTGCTTTAACAGTTTTATCTTTAGTGGTGACATTAGAGCGTTTTCTGGGCTTTGCAGAGCCAGTGTTGGGTTTTTTTAAAGCAGTCAAACCCTTGTGAGAATGACAAACTGAGACATAATAATGACATATCCATCCACTAATTGGAATACATTAAAAAGTTTAAGTTTGATCAAAATTTGTCACTCTCAATCACCAGTTAATAAAGTAGATTACTGGCTGAGCAAAACACCACCAATAATAATCTATGAAATTTTTATGACATAATCAAGACTAGTAGTTAAAACTGATACACAAATCCAGCAACGAAACACCACAGGAATATATTATTAAGGGAATGTGTCTTGCAATCTGCCCTGGATTTTGGATATTTTCTCTGTAAAATGCTTTCTAAGCTCGTTTAGATTAATTAGCATTTCTGAAACACTTTCTACGAAATGGCTTTGACTTTGTGTTATTGGTCTGCCTTATGCTGCTCGCACATGTTTAAAGGAAAGGTTCCCCACAGCTTTTTGGGAAAGGAAAAGGGAAAAAAACCAAGCAATTTCATTTTTTAAACAAGTAAATAGTGCATAGAGAATTGCATGAGAAAAAAAAAAAAAAAAGATAAAATTAGAAATAGGCTTTTGTATATTTATGCAGAGCCTCCAAAAAGACAATAACTGAAAGAAAACACAGCTTCTGTATGGGGAATTTATTACACATCAAAAGAGGCAAAATTGACTCTATTTGCCATTTAGGGGAAGAAAAGAGAGATGTGCTGCGTTGCATAGAGCAGAAGATCTTAAGAGCTTGACTGAAATAATGGAAAAAAGGGAAAAATCCCCTGATGAGGTGTGCTGGATCAGGGCCTAAGAGTAAGAGCTGCCCAGTTCCATCCACCCATCCCCAGTTTCACCCCACTCTTGCCCCCCAGCTCCACACAGCACCGGGCATTCCCTCTGCATTCAACTCATCGCTGCTGCAGGGGCTTCATTTTAAGCAGATGAGAAGTCCCTTCCAAGAGAAAAGATTTTAGATTTGAGGACACAGCTGAGATAAACCACACGATTTGATCTCGGTAACGGGACCCTGATTTCCAAACAACGTATTGCTGCAATTTACTTCAAATAGAAAAATCCCCAAGAAACAGAACAGACCCAGGATGCTCCTACCTCAGTTTCCCCAGGTCAAGAGCAGCTAATTTTACATAACAGGGGCACTGATGGGTTTAAACAAGTGTTTCAAAACCACATTCAGATTTTAAGAAAACTACAATATAAATGCAAAATATTTCCATAGTAAACGCTCAGCTGTATAATCATAATAATCTTCATTTTTATCTTCCCAAAAAGCCAAGGCAAATTTAATACACACACTTATCAAGGTGAAATTACTCCATCTTTGAGAGACGACGAATGCAACATTCTAACATGATATTTTCTTGGATGAAAGCTCCCATGCAAGTGTAAATTATTATCATTAAAATAATGAATTCTTTGCCTGGTTTAAGCTTTGCAGCTCGCTCTTGAACCGAAAAGTGCTCTCTGCTCAATGAAACTCAGGGGTGTAATGTAGATTTTCCACAGCATTTGGTTTTCAACTAAATTCTACAGACACATGATCAGGAGACAAATCCCCATTAAAAATGCTTGTGAGTAAGCACCCAAAGTAGTTGTCTTTCAATTATAATTTCTAGATAATGTGGAGGTTGGACATTATTACAGAGTGTTTTAAATACCAGCTCATCAGTTCAAATCTGGGTCAGGCAGAAAGTTGAAAAGAAGAGAGATGTCCTATATCAGACACAGTAGTTTCGGGCCATTTCCCAGTTGACATATATAAAAAAAGCCCCAGAACATCTCACCACTTTAAGCAACACTTGTCATTCTCAGCCAAGGAACCCAGAGCTGGAACTGACCTCTCAACACCCAAACGGTTCCCTCAGATGTCCATGGTTGGGACACATTGTCCAGCATCACATTCCCAAGCACACTTGACCTTCACCAGTATCAAATATAAGGGAATATTTAAGGGAAGAGTGTAAATCCATTTGCACCAGCTGCCTCCAGCCAGAGCAGCAGGGAAAGTTTTGAACTTGACTTTTCAATAGAAAGAACCGTTCAATGAATCAAGTTGCTTCTGATTCAATTCAAATTCAAATTCTGCTTCAATTCAAAACTTTCATCCTAACTACTGTGTTTCAAAATTACATTCTAAAACACAGGAGAAGATAAATTAACACACTGCAAACTATTCTGCGCCACAGAAAATTCTGAAATATCTCCCTTGAATAAAATTTTAAAATCTTGGGATGAAAATTTCTATTTTCCAGCTCTATTTCTAGATGTTCAGTTCACACTTTAGTGGTTACACAGCACAAAGCACCTTCTGCCTAGTCCTTGGAGCCTCCTCAGGTAATGAGCACTTACTGATTTGAGTTAGATTCAGGAATAATTCATTCGAAATAAGGCCTAGGCTATCTTAAGCTGCATATAGAGTAATATAAATTAGAGGCCACCTTTGACCATCTCTGAATTTGCTTTAAGAATTATTATTCATTAAAAAGAGATTCCAGGACTAGTTTACCAATGATAAACAGATTTTATTAGCATAGTGGCAGCATCAGTGGTAGTCCATCTCAAAAAGTTATTAGCTGTGACTGTAACCCAGGGTTGTAAGCAATGTCTTCACTGATTCAATCCCTTAATTACAGCAATCAATTGACATCAATATGGCAATTCTGTGACCTACTTTGTAAAGGGGTTAGACAAAATGACTGAATGGTCTCTTCTAGTCTTCAAACTGATAAATAACAATTTATTAAGGTAGCTAATAAGCATATATTAGCTAGACTGAGTGTAGAAGCCAAACAGCCAGAATCATTTTGAATAAAGGCTTGAAGCTGAGTCTTCCTCTGCCCGAGAAGCACCTGGCTCAAGGGGCTGTTTCGGGGATGGAAATGGATCAAACCTCTGTGTGTTTGTCTCTGCCCTCCCCCACCCTCCAGCTTTTCAACAAGTTTGAAAATCTGCTTTCTCTTCATGCACAAACTTTTAGCAATCTCAAAAACTTCCCTAGGATGGCAAAATCAATAGCATGGTCACTTTTATGTTAATCCTTTAAAACCTATTTATAAATGAAACCTAAATTTGAATTTTATTAAGAGGATTTGGCAAAGTTTTGGCATTTAGAACAATTTGGTTGTACCTCTCGCATGTCATATTTACCAAATTAATTCATTTACAAAATGCTGTTTAATGAGGGACTCTTCCCCCAGTCATTTCTCTCTTTTGGTGGCCCATGGCCATCAGTCATGCCCCATGTGCAATGCAACGTGCCCTCAGGTATGACAGCGAGTGGTGCAAACCCTGCCTAAGAAACCTTCCCTTGTTTACTGTTTATGGAGGATTGTATCTCTGTTCACTAATGTGCTCTAACTGCTGTAATTCGATTGCTTTGTGTGCTGAAAACAATAAAAAAGTTAATTAAAAATAAACAAAGAAAAGCAAGAGAAGTTAGGCCCCTGTACCATCGACCTGCAAATGTAAACGAAAGCCTCCATGTAACAGAGTCAGCGAAAGGTATTTTCTAAAGGAATTTCAGATGCTGTTTTGATGCTATACAAGCATCCCCCACAAACAAAAGGTGAAGTCTACTTAACTCAAGTACCTAAATATTTTTGTTGACTGAAGGAGCTGCATAATGAAGGAGATGTGCAACTATTCAAAAGATAATGATCATTACTTCCAGTGTTTGTCTGGAGCAGCGTTTGTGGCTGTAGTAATTGCAGAAGATAATGTGCTAGACTGGAGTATTCCTCCCCTTGACTGGAGTCAATGCTGTGTTTCAACAAAGCCGTTGCTCACTGAGGCCTTTCTCCAGAACACGAGAGTATTTCTACATTTCCACCACATTGGGCCAATGTGCCCGTTCGTCTGAATAAGTGCCAGTTTTCTGCAATATCATTTCACGGGGCAGGTTTACCAACTTTTCATCATTTATCTGAGATTTCTCAAGCAAAGCTGAAGTCACCCCACTCTGGCCAGCACTAGGGCATGCCCAGCTTGTTCCTCCATTTGGGATGAGGACAGACAAAGCTCCCCTCACAGCCAGGAAAAAAAAAAACCCAACCCTACTGTGTACATACCCTGTTTGTCCCCACGGTCAGATCCACGCGTTTCCTAAGCCTGGGAGAAAGGTTGCACTGGATGATCCTCCTGAGCCTGCAGAGCTGGGAAGGACGGATGCTGTGGGATGCTGGAGAAAACCTGGGGACAGAGCAAGAAGGACAACATCACTTAGATGTTACTGGGAGCAAGAGGAGCTGCAGATTTACATGGGTTTCCAATTCCAACAGGAATCCTGACAGTAGGGAGCCACCCTGCCCAGAGCGGTTCTGGGGCCAGTCTTGTTCAATATCTTTATTGATGATCTGGACAAGGGGATCAAATGCACCCTCAGTAAATTTGCAGATGACACCAAACTAGGTGGGAGTGTTGATCTGCTTGAGGGTCAGAAGGCTCTACAGAGGGATCTGGACAGACTGGATCAATGGGCCAAGGCCAATGGGATGAGGTTTAATAAGGCCAAGTGCCGGGTCCTGCATTTTGGTCACAACAACCCCAGGCAACGCTACAGACTTGGGGAAGAGTGGCTGGAAAGCTGCCCGGCAGAAAAGGACCTGGGGGTGTTGGTAGACAGCAGGCTGAACATGAGCCAGCAGTGTGCCCAGGTGGCCAAGAAGGCCAATGGCATCCTGGCTCGTATCAAGAATAGCGTGGCCAGCAGGAGTAGGGAAGTGATGGTGCCTCTGTACTCGGCACTGGTGAGGCCTCACCTCGAGGGCTGGGTTCAGTTCTGGGCCCCTCACTACAGGAAGGACATTGAGGTGCTGGAGCGTGTCCAGAGGAGAGCCACCAAGCTGGGGAGGGGCCTGGAGAACAAGTCCTATGAGGAGAGGCTGAGGGAACTGGGCATGTTTAGTTTGGAGAAGAGGAGGCTGAGGGGAGACCTCATTGCCCTCTACAACTACCTGAAAGGAGGTTGTAGAGAGGCAGATGTTGGCCTCTTCTCCCAAAGGACGAACGACAAGACCAGAGGAAATGGTCTGAAGTTGCGGCAGGGGAGATTTAGATTAGATATTAGAAAGAACTACTTTACTGAGAGAGTGGTCAGGCACTGGAACAGCCTGCCCAGGGAGGTGGTGGAGTCACCATCCCTGGAGGGATTTAAGAAACGTATAGACATGGCTCTTCAGGGCATGCTCTAGTGCCCAAGGTTATTGGTTTATGGTGAGGTGTTGAGTGTGGGGTTTAGTTGGTGGGTGCGGTGTTTTTGGTGGGCGTTTGGTGTGGTGTGTTTTGTATTTTTTTATTTTATTTTTTTTTTGTGGTTGGACTCAATGATCTCGGAGGTCCCTTCCAACCACTAAGATTCTGTGACTCTGTGACCTGCTCACCACGCTCCACTTCCCCAGCCATGAGACTCATCGCACTTATTCATGTGGCAGCAGCTTTTCTGCCATTTGAAAAAAAAACCCCAAACTCAATGTTCCTCTATTCTGGAAACTTAATAAGAGACTATCCCTTGGCATCCAAAAAATGGCAGGCAGAACTGATACGAAAGCCAAGTAAAGAAACAGGAGAGGTGAAAGTCATTGCAAGAAGTCTAAAATGTGTTTTCCAATGATTAGGAAAAATAAAAAAATTGATTGCTAGCCTGCAGATGTTCCTGAGCAATTCAGAAATAGGAAGAGCAAGTCTTTTGTGGGTACTATTCAAACTGTGGTATCTGGCATTGAAGCAAGTGAGGTGCTTCCATCCCCAATCACAGTTCTTTTGCTTTCTAAATGTTGCCCAGATGGTCAGTTTTTGTGCGGGCGGGAGGGGGTGGCGGGGAAGGGGGAAGGATTGTAATAACGAGAATGTGTGAAACTCCACCGCAATGAACCGACTGGAGGAACACCCCATTTACATTCTGTGCACATAGATTTCATATGCATACAACATCATAACTGCCTGGGAGGAAAAGTCAGTTATTTTCTTTTTCTAAATCATTTTTCCTTATCAGCTATAAAATGTTACAATAAAAAAAAATAATATAATAATCTCAGGGGGGAACTGAAGTCCCAGAAGGTGCTTGTCAAGGAGAAAAATAATTGTTAGCCAGAGCTGATTAAATAGCAATATTTTCAGAGACTGAAATGTTGGCTAAAAAATCATCCCAGAGATGTTAGCCTCAGTATTCTAAACTTGTCAGGAATGGCTAATTTGCTCAGAAATACATTCTAAAGAAGCTGATGCCACATCTTCCCCCCCAGCCATACTAATTGTTTATTAGCATACAAAAGAACCAATGACCTTTGCAATTGTGTGTTTATTGTCCCTGGTAGGCAGAAGAAATGAGCCTTGGCACAGCAAACATTGCTTGGTTCCTTTTTTATTTTTAGGAGAGTAACCTTTTAAAGCAATGAACTCTTCATCAATAGTATTTCACAGGCTGTATTTAATAATCACAGAACTAAGCAGAAATGTGTTATTTTGCTACTTCATCTAAGATTCAAAATCTAACAAAAAGAATTAAGGCTATCTTAAGTATTAAGTAATAGTTGTACAAGTTGAAGTATTTTGGAGGATTTAAAAGCATACTAAAAAAGTTTTGAAGTGTTTCATATCAAGCACCAGAACCATACATTTAGGTTTAAGCTTTTTGAAGAGCGCACAGAACTTGAACACAATTTTTGTCAGGGTATTGCATTACTCCTCCACTCAGCGTTGTCGCTGATTAACGAGCCTGAGCCTCATTTTTAAATTCCATTTAAAAGTCTAGGACACTTATCTTCATTGCCTTTCAATATGGATTAGGTTCTTAAATCTCGGAACCACAAAATAGTTGTGGTTTGGAAGTGACCTCTGGAAGTGGTCCAAGTCCAAACCCCGGCTCAAGGCAGGGTGAGCGGAGTATCTCCAAGGATGGAGGCTCCACAGCCTCCCTGGAAAATCACAGAATCACAGAATCTTAGTGGTTGGAAGGGACCTCTGAGATCATCGAGTCCAACCACAAAAAAACAAAAAAAAAAAAAAAAAAAACCCTTCAATATGGATTAGGTTCTTAAATCTCGGAACCACAAAATAGTTGTGGTTTGGAAGTGACCTCTGGAAGTGGTCCAAGTCCAAACCCCGGCTCAAGGCAGGTTGAGCGGAGCAGAGCGGCCGTGCCTGTGTCCAGTGAGGAACTGAGTATCTCCAAGGATGGAGGCTCCACAGCCTCCCTGGAAAATACATTCCAGTGTTGGGCCACTCTCACAATAAAGAGTTTTTTCTTATGGTTAAATGGAATTTCCCCTATTTCAGGGGTGCTAAGGAGCCCCAGCCACCTCCAGAGAGCTAGTCCTAGTCACTTCCCAAAGCAGGAGACACCAAAACATCTCCTGCTCTGGTCATAAGCATGACAGGAGCAAACTTTACCCAGAAACTATTTAATGCATCTATCAGCCAAGTGAACATAATGAAAATGGTGATGTGACTTTATTTCATTTATTCCATAACAAGAGTACATTGGGGCTTGGTTAAAGGTATCCACAAGAGAGATAATTTTCAAGACCTAGTAGAGACCAGGCAATCTGTTAGATGTGAGAGTCTTAGTCCATTAAGTTGCTGAGCCAATTCATGATAATGTTATTTAGTGTAAATTTCCATTTGGATGAATAGTAAAGAGCTTGATCTATAACATTTGTAATTGAATTAGCAACCTCTTTGTTTCCCTATTCTCTTTATGGCCAGGCTATGTATGCGTTTTGTGAGCATTCTGAATTACAGCATTCAAGCCATTAGTCGGGAAAAGTGCCACATAATGCCCTTTTGGAAGTGGGTTTTTATTCCATTTAACTTTTTTTCCTTCCTGGAGAAGCGATGTTTTGCCATTCAGTGCTGTTATCCAGCAGCCTCTATTTAAATCTGCTTTGTTTCACCTAAATTTGATTAGATTCCATAGATCTACTCTGCACGGCTGATATAGTTTGACCCTTACAAGCCCAAAGCTGGGGTTTCAGGGTTCATTTCTTTTCCCATTATTTTTCTGGACAAGAATAGTAATGGTAGCTCAGGAAAGAAAAATATAAGAGACTAATTTAACAAGGGATTTAAACACCTGCTTAATTACATCTCTGCTGAGGGCAGCACTGATTCAAGTGCTTAATTGGGTGTTGTTATTTGGAAATATGGAAGAACTGCACAAAAAGAGGCTTGTAAAAGTACCTGAATGTGTAATAACATTCACCATTTATTGTATCTCTCGGCATTAAACCAGGCCTACATTTTGAATCCATCCAGCAGATCCTCACGCTGGGCTGAGACTCGGTGAGGAAAATGGATGGCTCTACAGGATGAAGGATTTTCTACTTTTGGCTACATCTAGATGTTTGTCTGCTCCCAGTGCAATTTTCAAACACAAATTGAGCAGTAAGAAAACTGGATTCTCCTGAGGCTCCAGGAAAGTGTAATCCATTTGTCCCTCCACCAGGATCCACAACTGCTGCGCTGGGGAGGGACTTGATTACCATGATCTATCAGTAGGAAAATAATTACTATCATTTTACAACTGGGGAAACTGAGTTCTAGACCAGCAGAGAGTAAGGCTGGGGAGTAGAATGCCAACGTTACCCCTCCTAAATAATTCAGCCCAAAGTAGCCAAGTATCATCCACCACCCCTGGGAGCAGGGAGTGTCTCCTCAGTTCTTCACTCCTACTTCGACCTCCACAAGGATTATCCAACCCCTCTGGTCTCTTGAGCATCAGCATCACTGTCATAAGTGAGACACATTAGTAAGTCCCAAATTAGTAAGTAGAAAGATTTCATAAAATCATAGAATGGTTAGAGCTGGAAGGGACCTTAAAGATCATCAAGTTCCAACCCCCCTGGGCAGGGACACCTCCCACCAGACCAGGTTGCTCCAAGCCCCCTCCAACCTGCCCTTGAACCCCTCCAGGGATGGGGCATGCACGACTTCCCTGGACAACCTGTTCCAGTGTCTCACCACCCTCATAGTAAAGAATTTCTTCGTAATACCTAATCTAAATCTCCCCTCTTTCAATTTAAAACCGTTCCCCCTTGTCCTGTCACTGCACTTCCCGACAAAGAGTCCCTCCCCAGCTCTCCTGTAGCCCCTTCAGATATTGGAAGAGGCTCTAAGGTCTCCCCGGAGCCTTCTCTTCTCCAGGCTGAACAACCCCATCTCTCTCAGTCTGTCTTCACAGAGGAGGTGCTC